TTATCATTACTTTAACAGGGAATTCATTCATCCATTCATCCAACAATCATTTTTTTACCTCACTCTGACTAAATTAATTCTTTAAATGTGAATTATACAAAGTTGCCCTACCTCTCCCTTGACAGATTTAGATACACCAATATAAATGTGAATTATACAAAGTTGCCCTACCTCTCCCTTGACAGATTTCGATACACCAATATAATCACTAAGTAAGTCAGCAGGTCCTGTTATTCTAAGCTTTGCTGATACCCAAGAGAGATCAACTAGAAGATCATATGCTTCATTTACCATCCCAGCCTTTTGCATGTGTTGAATGAGGTTCCAGTGAATGTAGCCATCATCTTCTACTTCTTCAAACTTACCTGGATATGATTTAGAATTTTTTAAATGAAATATAACATCTGCCCAAATTAGTGTAATATAGACTAGTGTATTATTAATTGTAGTATTATAGTAGTGCAGCTCTGTGACTAAAAGTGTACCACAAAATAGACAAGTGGTGTGGTGTGGTGTGGTGTGTGGTTGATTGTAGTATGGTGTGGTGTGGTGTGGTGTGGTGTGGTGTGGTGTGGTGTGGTGGGTTGTAGTATGGTGTGGTGTGACCAGTGTGGTGTGGTGTGGTGGGTTGTAGTATGGTGTGGTGAGTTGTAGTATGGTGTGGTGTGGTGTGGTGTGGTGTGGTGTGGTGTGGTGTGGTGGGTTGTAGTATGGTGTGGTGTGACCAGTGTGGTGTGGTGTGGTGGGTTGTAGTATGGTGTGGTGAGTTGTAGTATGGTGTGGTGTGGTGTGGTGTGGTGTGGTGTGGTGTGGTGTGGTGTGGTGTGGTGTGGTGTGGTGTGGTGTGGTGTAGTATTGTGTGTGAAGTGCAGTTCAATGCAGTGTGGTGTACGTGATGTGGTTAGGTGTACCATCTAGTATAGAGTAGTGTGTTATCTTGTGTTGTGGTGTAGTGTATCATTAAGTACATTTGTCTTATTGCTATCAATAATAATTAATCATTATTATTATCATAACCATACCATCATATACTTCAATGTATCGTTCTACCAACTTCTTGTGTAACTCTACTGGTTTCTTGACTTCTTCTCTCAGGAAAGTCAACTGAAGATTGTGTACACTGTACCAAGTTATTGTACCACTATCACCATCTGACTGGACAGTCTTCTTGGCCAAGGACTTATTGACTAGTTCATCCATCTTATCTTCAACCTCCTCAAACTACAATTATACAGAATACATGGAAAAATTGATATCATTAACTAAGATTATTATATGAGGAATCATTGCCTAATGCTGAGTATGATATGAAGAATTATTGGTTAAGGCTGAGTATGATATGAAGAATTATTGGTTAAGTCTGAGTATGATATGAAAAATTATTGGTTAAGGCTGAGTATGATATGAAAAATTATTGGTTGAGGCGGAGTATGACATACCTCTTCATCCCATAGAATACATAGAACTTGAGCAGGCACTTTAGCTCCATCCTCAAACAATGCAAAGTCCACATACAACATCCGCAAGTCATCATTTAAATTGCTCAAACTCATTGATATAGCTTCACTGAGAGTAGGATATTGATAGGCAAACGTTGTTTTAAATTTACCAACTTTTTTCTTTTCTAACTGTTTCATGTAGTAAGTCCACCTGTTTGGGTGCTCACGTAACAAAGCCCCTATCATCGTGATTGCTAAAGGTGAACCTTTGGTCAAGGTAACAATGGTCTTTGCTTCACTTGGCAAATCTTGTGGTATAATTCGAGTCCATAGAGCTAAAATATCCAGCGATTCTTTATCTGTAAAACCCTCACTTATATGAACCTTTTTTTTATTTCCACTCACACCATTTGTAATGGATGCATCTCTTGTAGTTACAACAATTCGCACCCTAATATCAAAGTATCGGACATCACTAGCATTCCATAAATCGTCTAAAACTAGCAATGTTCTTGGATGTTGATGGGCAAAAATTATTCTTAGTCGGTCTTTAGCTTCTTCAAGATTTCTTGGGGGTGCACGGGTATGATCTGAATCAAGTTGAGTACATAAGTTTTGCATCTTCATTAATAGTTTTGGTTGGTCAACTGGGCCAATTCGTATCCAAAAGACCCCCCCTGGAAAACACTCTTCCAGGATTTTGGAGGAGCGAATAGAGTCGGCTGCTAATACTGTCTTGCCGCACCCAGCCATACCGTGTAGTATAACCCAGCCGTCATGATCCTTTAAGGATCGTAATGCTGTACGGACACGATGTACATCCCTTGCTCTGTTTGTAAATACGTCAGGTCTTTGAGGAACTCCTCCTTCCAGTAAAACTCTTTCAACTGAGAAATGAGAAATGGATGAGAATTGGGAAAATTGCTAATAAAAGCAAACAAGAATTGTCTATCTAAATTGCTGATTTTAAACTATTCCCTTGAGATTGAAATCAAGGCACCCATGTTGATGGTAATGATATTCAAAGAAATCCTTTGTCAGTGAATCATTAGACATGGCATCTTTATCCATTCCTTACTATAACCTCCCCTTCTGTTTCTCCTCCTCTATCCCCCCCTCCCCCCTCCTTAAATACTGCCATACAGGTTGCAATATCATCACAAACAATGACCTTGCTCATGGATGTCTGTCAGAACTGAGCCCTTCCTTGGCGACCCCCCATCTTCTTCCAGTAGTTCAGCCAAGTGAGGATACGGCTCTTCTAAAGCTTCCTTAAAAAAATAAAATGCAGCATCTCCCTTTGTTTCCAGTAAATCCAGTAGCTTCTCTGCTCGTCTACGTGTGGTAGATTCAGACTTGATAATCTCATTGTCATCCATGTCAAATACAAGTTTGCTTTGCAAGAAATTGAGGACATCATCAACAAGGAGGTCTTCAACAATTTCCACTCGGTTGATTGTGAGAGTGTCATGGTGTGACTGGGTCATGCGCTCAACTATAACAAAGAGGAAAAACTTATAAGATGTGTTTATATGTATGGTTGCCTTTCAAAGTTTTCTTTTGCTATGACTGCTGTACATGACATTTGGAACACAACGACAAGATACATTGTGTAAATGGGTCAAAATTAAGACTTCCTTGTAGAATTTTTCTTTTCTTTAATGCAGATTATTTGGTACCCAAATATTCCTTACTATCACCATCAAAACATGTCATGAAAAATAATGGCAACCACAGAGCTATAATTGAGAATATACAGTGAAATCATTCATAAACATTTCACTGAATGATATAGCTATCACATTCTCAAGCCAGATTTATATTTAAGCAGATTCAAGACATGTTTCGGMAGATTCCTAAATATGTACAAAATTGACATTTAAGATAACATGCCCTTAATGTCAGTACATTAAAATTATTTTAATTTCCAGCTAATGTGTGAAATCAAGTTTGAATAAACACGCCATTAAATGTTTAATATTTACTTAGCAAAGCAAAATGGCAAAAGAATACTAGCTCATACACTCATATTTCAAGAGTGCGGCAATAATTTCAAGTAGAAATATTGATATTAAACGGAATATTTTACTCCAAAACACGTACGCTGTGATGGTGAGTCCACAAAATCAAGAACATTCCCATACTGTTCCTCCCCAACTCCACTTTTCATAAGCTCAGCTAAGTGAGGGTATTTCTCTCCAAGTATCTTATAAAACACTCCAAAAGCTTCAAAACCCTTTGTAGGAAGAATGTCTAATAGCTTTTCTGCTCTTCGTTTTGAGGTCCGTTGACTACGGATAATTTCTTTATCATCTGTGTCCAGGATGTGTTGGCTTTCCAAGTAGATAATAACATCGTCTACAAGTAAATCTGTAGCTATTTCGTCACGAAATTTTATGAGGAGATGGCGATGGTTCTCTAGCATTTTGACCAGCTGTTAACGCATTGGATTTGTGGTAGTCAACATTGTTCCTCTGTGTTGTGAAGCGAGGGAAAAACCAGAACAAAATATAATCGTGGATTTTGTCAAACGCATTTCAACTTCCGTCGCGGGAAACTCCCTTCCGCATGCGCTCTGCGAATGACGCACAGGAAATTTGCAGGCTCACAACATGATTTGTCTTCCGGATCCGGTTTGAAACGAAAAAAAAAAAGAAAAAAAAAAAGAAAAAAAAAAAAAAAAAAAAAAAAAAAAAAAAAAAAAAAAAAAAAAAAAAGAAAAAAAAAAGAAAATAAAGAAAAGAAAATAAAGAAAAAAAATAAAGAAAAAAAGAAACGTGAAACGTTCATTGACAATTTATTTTTCTATTCAGTACATTTTAATAAATTAGAACATGTAAAAACCTTTCATTTATAATAAATTAGCTCAAATTACAAAGTGTTATACCTTCGCAGTAAGATAAATATTTTTCATCTTCGATGACAGTTATTGACAAGTAAATTATAGTTAGTAAAGTTTAAAAAGGTTATAAAAACATCTAGTTATTTTTTAGAAGCTTCTACAACTCTACATATTTACAAACATCTCCACAGAGCAAACACAGGAAAACCATGAAATAAAATCAAACTAAATACTAACAAATAGCAGCTATTTAGAGACAATTTGTCAGTATCAATGAACCAGAACACAATGAAGATGAATCCACATGGGACCATTTTTCATTCATCTTTATTGCCTTAGCTTCTGGTTCATTGATACTGACAATTTGTCTCTAAATAGCCGCTATTAGTTAGTATTTAGTTTGATTTTATTTCATGGTATTCCTGTGTTTGCTCTATCACAAACACTTATTTACCAAACACTTTTATATTGTTGATTGTACAAAACACCAGTGGTCATGATTGTTATAGAAGGTGACAATCTTGTGCTGAAGTACAACAGCCACAGGGAGAACATGCTGTTTATCGGTGGCCACCCCTCCCCTCCATATAAAGAAAACTCTTGTTATAGGGGAGGGTGGTCATATAAAAACACCCATAAAGAGACCTTGCCAACAGTCTTCTTCACGGTTCCCTGTGCCATCTTGAAAGGTAGCTGTGCCTTTGCATCGAAGAGACAACAATTGAGCGTGCAACAATAGAAACCTTCTTTCACACCTACAGACAATTATTCACAGGTTTCTATCATTGCACACTCACGGTTGTCTTGCTTCGATGTAAAGGCACGGCTACCTTTCAAGATGGCGCAGGTTACCGTGAAGGACACTACTCCTGGTGGCAGTGAGCACAAACATGGCCCTTGTGACATCACCTGAAAACCARCGATTACAGGCACCTCAATTGTRTAGCCCRCCTTCATGGAAAACACCAGTGAACTACTAGCTAAATGTTACCTAAAATTCACCGTGAATGGATATGTGAAGCAAATTTTGTGGAATAAATTTGTTCAATTGTATTAGAGACAGTCGCCATTGGTTGAGAAAATAATGGACACATAGATGCCGTTCTAAAAGAGAAAACTAAAAGCAGACATTCAACAATGAAATTGGGTTTGGGAAAACATCACTTGCAATCAATGTGTGTCACACATTCTCTGTCACGCAACTCTGGTCATGGTACAAAATGTTCATGTACGTTCAATATGTTTCTATGTTTTGTTTCGGCGCATAGGGGTTTTCAATATCCACAACATCTTCATAGGTCCATCGTCGACTGCATCGGCACTCGACACCACATTTCTCAGAACCACAGGAACTGCAAGGAAAGTGACATCCGGGACAGTTCAGCTGTTGACAGTCACAGACATCTTTGTTGTCAATCAAACGAACTCCATAACGGTCGTGATAGTTCCGTCGCTTAGAAATCATTTTAGGTTTCTTTTCTGGGATATTAGAGCCACTTCCAAGCTTTTCAGGCGAAGTAATTGTTTGATTAAGAGTTGAGCTTACAAATTGCTTCACTTTCCGCTGTTCTCGACGGCTTTTGTCGGGGTTAAAGCTCGCTAGCTGTGGACCAGGGTTTCTAAATTGAAGGATTTTTAAAAGTTTTTCAGTTTTGTTTTCTTCTGAACTGGCTGAAGTCGTTCTCGAAGCACATGCACTCCCCGGTTGAGGTTCTAATTTGCATTTTGAAGTTGGCGAATTTGAGTTGCTGTCTAAATCATTTCCACTTGACAATTCCATGTTTTCTTGACAAWTTTGACCTTTGTGGACTAAATCATTATTATTTTTTGGTTCGTCTTCCATTTTGAAAACAAATAGAGGCAGAAAATGCCCTTAAAACAAAAAAGAAATTTTAGGAAAAAATTAACAAGGATGCCGCCATATTGGATTATTCTATTACCCACAGGTCTGTGCGCATTGTTTTCCTTGGATTCCCTGTGTACTTGTAAAATCACTTCCGGTTGAAAACCAAAACAAAACTTTTTGTATTGCCAAAAAATATATTAATGAACAAATAAATAGATAAAAATAGAAATTTGTGATTATTTTTGAGGTCTAGAAAGGTTTTTTATTAGCAAATAAATATTTCTAGAATTTTGTTTCATGTTTTTAAATACTCAGCATTTTTCTGCCTTCTAAAATATTTCATTCATAATTGATTTTTTTCTTCAAGATGCACACGTGTGTCGTGTGTGCAATAATGTGTTTAGTGTAATTCTTTGAAACTGGATACCAAACAGTCAAAAAAATGTCTGACACTTCGACAAAAAAGCTTTATATTTCAAAAACCGGTTCACTTCCGGTTTAGCAGGTCGAGTGTGTTACCCGGGCACCGAGCACAAGCCATCAAAAATTTATTTATTTCGAGTCTCCGCGCAAAGTCAATTCTTCTCGAAAAGAGGAAAATATATTATCTTCTGACGTAAGAGTATTGTGCAATTTCAGCCAAAAATAATTCAAAACGGAGTCGCCAACATCAGTACTACGAAGAGTTTCAAACAACCAAGAAGCGACTATGAAAGAGGTAGGTGAAAATATACTATTCAGCTTCGATCGAAAAATACTCTTCTATTGCTCTTTTTGAATGAAATATCATATTTAATGAACTTTAGGCTAAGATTACATATTAATGTTGTTAACAGCAAACAGTCGAAGAAAGAGTTTCGGGTGAAGGAGAAGAAAAAATCGAAACGAAAGAAGAACAGCCCCAAGCTGGCCTATTATGGCGTTTGTCTGGAGGTGCTTATAATAAAGCAGCGACTGTAGTCGGTGGTGTTGGCTGGGTCGCTGGTTCTGCTATCTCAACGACTTGTTCAGTAGTTACTACAGTTGGAGGATACGCAATTACGCCGTTTCGAAAAGAGCCAAAACACAAATCAGACTGATTTTCAACAATGTACTTTGAACTCTGTCAGCAATGGCAGCCCATTAAAAACCTCAAACAGTGCTGTAAGTAAACACGATTGAGAGATCTTGGACGAACTTTTCACGTTTGAGAGACTATTGCGGAAAAAAAAACATTAATTCATTTTCACAAACGTCAGATAAGTTTTCAAAAAAAACTAAAAAATAATAATCTATTCGGAAGAAAGAAATCTTTCAACAAGTTGATCGTTTGCCACGTCGATATACTCTCCAGAATAAAAATGTTTAGAAAAATAAATGTCCGTCAAAAATAGTCTAGTTTATAATAACAATATTATTACCGCAGAAATTTGTCATAAGGCTAGTTTATTTCAATCTATAATTGGACGATTTACTTTATAAATGCAGTTTGCAATGTTCGTTTCTCAGTTGGAATCTGTAATTTGAGAAGACGTACTACCTGTAGGAGAAACAAAAACTCCTTGTCCCTACTCTCATGTGAACTAGAAATTCCTTAAAAATAACGCTACATGATTATTCTGTATTTATAGCTGATAATTATCTTGTAAAAAAGCTCTTTGTGGTTATATATAAAGTTGTTTTTAAGAATAGATACTTTTTCTTGAAACGCAACCAAAAAAATTTTGTAAACAAATATCGAAAAATATGTAATATATTTAAATGAAACAATTTGATACTAATAAAAACACTTTGTTCTAGTTTATTTTTGCGTTACGTATTTGTCATTGCATCACTTCAGTATTAGGTGTAAAGTTCATTTTGGTCATGTGAGGTGAAAAAAAGAGAATTAAAAAAAAATTTAATCACTTTATTTATACATATAAATGTCCAAAACGAAAAAAAAAATATTTTTGCCTCTTTTACACCAATACAGACATTTATAATTACATCAGAGATAGCAATAGATCTTAATAATTTTAAAATTGTTCAGGGGGAATACAAATTCATGCTCGCTAACAGCTGTGTTCGATTTTTTTCAATCTAGATTTCCATCCTCAAAATTTTCGAACGGAATAAAATGCAATCAGCTGTTTGGTTTTTCAAGAATCAATTGTTGGAATACTATAGATTGAAAAAATGTACTAAACCAGTTTTATGATTAAATATCTTTATTGTGATTTTTTTCTTTTATCCAGTACACCTTGCAAACACCTTGCATATACTTCATTAATACCGTATTAATAAATTATTAGTATATTAATAAATTATTGAGTATAAAATAAGTTTGCTGAAAACTAAAATTTATACACTACAGTGAACTTACAAGAGTGCAAACATAAAAACTGTGAAGCAGTACTGACCAAATACAGCAAAATAGCAATATATAGTGTTGTTAAGATTAATAGAAAACATTATCAAAACTATTTATCTTCTATCATGCAACGTTGTGCAATTTCTTACTAAATGTTTTACAGATAAAATGAATGCACATCGCTTGGTTACTATTAATCGTTTCATGATTCAATATGTGAGGAGAACTTCAATCAATTAAGTGCTTACAATGAGTGGTGTATATCACGTTAGTATGGATGGTGCTCTGTATGTTTGTATAGCTTCATGAGCTGGAGTCTTGTGCAGTAGTTTTAAGTTCATTGTATCCTCATTGACACCTTGTTTGATGGCTCCTATTTCTACATTGTAATTATTGGCCTGAAATGGGAAAGTGATTATGATTAGATGTTGATGTTGGTGGTGGTGATAATGATGATGATGATAATGATGATGATGATGATAATGATGATGATGGTGATGATAATGATGATGATAGTGATGATGATAATGATGATAATGATGATGATGGTGATGGTGATGATAATGATGATGATGATAGTGATGATGATGATAGTGATGATAATGATAGTGATGATAATGATGATTAATATTATAATATTATATTTACTGATGACGGTGTGAGATCAGGGACAAGAATTAACAAGATTTAACATTAATGAATATTTTGAGCAAATACAATCTCTAAAGATAAGCTACTAAAAAAATTGTAAACAAGACAACATGATAACACGGATTGAGAGGAGATGGAATTTGATCTAGAACATCAGTCCTCAGAAGGTACGTCCTGATAATCCAAAATTACAATCATTATTAAAATGTCTGCAACATTTGACTATCTTTTGATAGCTGTTTATTTACTTAGCTGCCCTAGCTGATCAAATATGTCTTATGTGTAACAGAACAAGACATTTCATGGTAAAAATCTAATATTAGACACAATTATAAGCTTACAGTGCACTTTTTACATACCAACTGTAGTGTTGCTAGGAAGTACCGGCACACTTCAAATRAATCCTGCAGGAAAAAAATATTTTTATTAGTGGAGTAGCTGCACTACACCCATGAAACAAATAATACTAGTCGCTTGTAGCTCGCAGTTTTTAATGCCCAAGCATAAATGTCTCCTGCTCATATTTACATGTATAGAATAAAAGTCTCTCATTCATTTTTCAAGATTACTTAGTTAAATTAACACCATTCATTATTACAAAAACAGTTTAGTCCTTACCTTCTCATTCATCATTGTGTCAAAGGTGGTATCTTGCTTTTCTAAAATGAGAAAAAATGATGAATAGTGACTCTGAATAAACAAATGAATGGAAATTGAATGGATGAGAAAATGAATGGATGGAGAGTGAGAATGAATACCTTGAAAATAAGTGAATAATGAATGATACATGTCAATCAATATATAACATTTGTTTATAAAGGATTCAATAAAATGAATGAATGGATGAAGAAATAAACAAATGTACAATTAAATGAATGAGCAAATTAATAAATGAGTTCCGTAAAAGTGAATGGATTCAAAATGAGTAAATATCGAATTAAAAAATAATTTAGTTTATTAATAAATAAATGAACGAATAATGCATAAATACTAAATAAATGAATGCATCAATAAAAGGCACATGTTGGACTGATAGATCACTAACCTTCAAATAACCCTAGGATTTCCGAGCCATATTGATGTATATCGTACGGCCTGTGTAGCTCCTACAAATATAACTCAAACTTAATCTACAATCATGGTCATTTTACTTGGTACAAAATGCCTGCGGGAGCGTTTTTTATGCTAGGTATTTGTTTTATATTCTTTTCTTCCCCCCTTCCCCCTGATCAATGTTGAAAGAGGTGTTAAGGTGTTGTGTGTGGACAGTCCAACCGGTAAGGGAACTCACAACATTGAATGTGGGGGTACGGGGGGTGTAAGGGGGGAGTAAGGGGGGCTGAAATTTAAAGAATTCTGATGCATAGTGTAAATCTATGTTAAAATACATAGGTGTCCCTAAATAATTTGTCCATGATATTTGAGCAACATTTCCAAAGATATGTTAACTGAAATCAAACAAGATATTGGAAACCAAGAATTGAACAGGTTATTCAATATGCTGCTCATTAAATACTTACTTCTTCTTGTAGAGTTGGTAAAATCTTCTTCTCCCATTCTTGAACTCTTCTACCGAGATCTGTTTGCTGTGCATATTGCTGTGCTTCTTGTAAATAGCCATCAACATAGCGCCTAACAAGATCTTCATAGCTTGAAACCACCAATTCCTCAGGGGGTTCCTCAAGGGCTAATGTAAACAATAATACTTATGAATTTTAATAACTCAGGGGGAAGGGGTGAAAAAAATATGAATGAAAAATGAATGAATACCATTTCTTACCTATAGGAGCAATAGGTTCATTGTCATCATTACCACCAAAATCATTGTCATCATCATCATAATTATCATCATTTTCTGGAGCTAAACAAATCCAAAATTCTAATTATAAGTTACTTATCAACTTTAAAATTTATCATTGAGTTTTTATCTTGCTGCAATAAAAGCAGAGGCAGGATATCTTGGTGATGAAGGGTAAAGAACAAGAGTGGACAATAGAGCGGATTTTGTATGAGTGGGACACCGTTACCGCACGGTTACCGCACAGTTACCGCACCTGGCCTGCACAATTTTGGTGAACCAATGGGGCACTATAATTTGGCTACAGTATGATTACGGTCACAGTACAGTACCGTCCGTTTCCCACTCATACGAAATCCGCTCTACCTGCAAAAATCTCACATATTTTAGTACAGTTTAAGGTGCTTGAAAAGAATACCTTTTAAGAACAGTGTAAAAAGGAGCACCACCTATCCATACTCCCACTGCATAATACAATGTTTCCCTACCATAATTTTGTACGTCATCTTGTTCTTCTGGTTCCTCTTTGAAATCAGGAACAACTGACTCTAAGTCATTGATGTCCTCTTCACTCAAGTACTGAGACTATAAAATGAACATTAGAATTGTTGAGGCTGAGTATGATATATAAAAGTATTGGATAAGGATGAGTATGATATGAAAAGTTATTGGATTAGGCTGAGTATGATATGAAAAGTTATTGGATGAGGCTGGGTATGATATGAAAAGTTATTGGATGAGGCTGAGTATGATATAAAAAATTATTAGATAAGGCTGAGTATGATATAAAAAATATTGGATAAGGCTGAGTATGATATGAAAAATTATAAGTTAAGGCTGAGTATGATATAAAAAATTATTGGATAAGGCTGAGTATAATATGAAAAGTTATTGGTGAGCTTAAGTCTGATATGAACAATTATAATTGGTTAAGGGTGAGACTGGTATGAAAGGATTAGTAGTTGGGTTTATATGTACAATAATATGAAGAATTATTGTATGAAAATGAGTATGTTGTGAAGTGAGATGATGACATTGGAAGGGATTACACTTACAAGTAATTTCTTCTGTTTCTTTTCTATTTCTTGACGTCTTCTGAACTCAACCCAATAAAGGTACTCAAACTCTGATAAACAGTAATATCAAAATAATGAGATGTATTAGAATGAGTGACAATAATTATTGGCCTACAAGCATACCTTTGTATATAGGTGCCTTGAGAGGGTTCTTTGGGAATTTAGAAGAATGAGAATAAACTAGGATAAAGAGGAAATTCAGTTAGAATTTTCAGCAAAATGTCATGGTATTGCTTTCTTTTGAGTCTAGACCTTCACACCTTTAAGCTTGTTGTTTACACGAGCAATTTTTCCTTGACAAGTTTCTTTTCTTTCAAGGAAAACTTGTCAAGGAAAAATTGCTCGTGTAAACGYTGCTTTACAATTACAGTTTGGTCATCATAAATCAGTTATTGAACAACAACAACAATACTCACAAGCCTGTGTACAGAATTCGTGTAACGGCATWAGGTACGATTTCTTGGGCTTTGTTTCATTTCGTTTACGTTTCTTTTTGTTATCACTCTTTGGTTCCATTATTGAAGGTGGAATTTTGAATGGTTTTCCTAAAAAAATTACACCAGATATAAAATAGATGAGCATATTTCTTAAGGACTTATTAAGGAATTATTTATTGTATACATTTGGTTTGTGCTTACCTTTCTTGAATGGCTTATCGCCTGTTCTTCCAGGACTATGGGGGTCGAGAAATTCCCAGGAATCTTTTACCTAACAAATGGTAGGATGCAAAACAAATAAAAAGATTAACTACAGATAAATGGAAAATGAAGGGTTGAAACCASGAAGCTAGAAAGCAATGAAGAAATATACATGTAACAGAAAGAAGGAAAAGGCAAAGAAATGGAGTGAGGAGTGAATATAKRRGARA